ATTTGCATTCGAAATGATAAAGGCAGTTTCGAAAATTTCTGGCTCAAACGTGATAACAATCATAATGTCACGTGATATTTTCTTGAAACAGTAATCACCATGATGATCATAGGCACACTGACCTTTTGAATATTTTCCCAGTCGATATCCTCTTTATCTCTACTTGAGCGAACACTCACTGATCGATTTGGTAATCGAAGTGAATGTCGAATCAATGATGAAATACGCCTGAAATCAGGTGCTAGTAGTGTATCACAAATAAATAATTGTATCATTTTAATAGTAGCGCATGTGGCGCAGTGGTTTGAGGTGTTGTGCGTCGCAAACAAGGTCGATAGTGCGATCTCGCGTTTTTACTTCAGCAGGTCATCCATCCCTCTAAGGTCGGTGATTTGGTACCAGACTTTTCTGATAGGATAAGCAGCGCCGACTCGTTACAGTGGCCGGCCATCGCGAGGCCTTGTAAAAGGCCAGATAGGCATTCAATCACGTCAAACGAAAATTAAAATTGAACACGTATGCATGACGCATCCCTAAAGAATGATCAACGCCGAGAGTTCTACCCTTTTATTATTATGATATCGCTGTATGATTACCGCAATAATGAGGACCCGATGGCATGTCCCAATCATAGATTCTCCTGCTTCGGCACTACCAGGTAATAAGCAAAACTGCATTAGAGCTAAATCAGATATTCTAGAAAGCTTTTTTCAGATGAAGTGAAAGAGTTGTACGTTCAAATTGCTATGACTGACATGTGATATGAAGTGAATAACATTATTATGGATTTCAAGGCATTTTTCCTCCAATCTTCACAGTTACTCCTTCGAATAATGCTCACTGGCTCATATTGGTGATGGAACTTTCGATGTCGAACTACGACGCATATCAAGCGTTTATCTTTCGGTGAAGTAGCAGTGGCACGAATTAAGACTCAGATAGGGGAAACGTCGTCTTCGGAACATCATTCCATCACAAGTATGTTATGCTTCTGCTGAAGGTTGGAGAAAAATTCCTACGATTATGTAGATAACTACACTGTTCGCAAAGACGACCTCAGAGCGAATTGGCTTAGCTATCTTAGGGGCTAAAAAGCTCAAAGCTCAAAAAAAAAAAGAATCGGTTTCTGGGAAGCACCAAAAAGGAAATCATTTGAAACTCTAAGTTTCTAATTTCAAAAAATACATTCTAACAATAATCTATTGCTACCCGTTTCATCTCTATCAGATTCTCACATCTTCATTGTTAAACTGTTCAAAACTTGTTTCGTTCCACATTTCCTGACTCATAGCATAAATTACTTCACTTTCACTATCTATCCGTCGATTGGAGCAATGAACAAGTCTTATTTTTTTTGGTTTCTTATTACATCTATCACAAATGCTAATGTATTGGTAGTTGAATTGTGACACAACATTGTTTCTTATCGTCTCTTTCCTTAATAATTCAAAACACCACATTCCAGCGGCTGAAAGTGTTAGCTAAAAGTAACAATTTTCCAAAAACTAACTTTTTTATTAATCATTAAAGTCTGGGGAAAAAGATTATGCAAATTAAGCCATATGAAAACCTGAACAATGTTGCCAGAAAGTGAAATGGCGACGAAATGGTGGTGAACATCTCGAGACGACTACTACGTGATCCCACAGGCCTTATGTTGAAATAGAATGTAAATATTCGCAGATATTGATTAAATGTGTTTTGTAAGAGAGCGAAACATCCCGGAAAAAACGGCGATAGCGTGTCGTGTGCACATCTTCGCTGAACGTTTTCTTCAGATATTTTTATATTCATGATGCCGTTCGAATAGCTGAGATATTTGATACATTCGCGCGACGAAGCTGGCTTTTTCGATAACTGACGATGACTGGTCGTTTAGTGGGGAAGAAATTTAGGAGTCAACAACATGATAAACACCTGCAAAGGCCGCTTTCTCTTTCGCAGAAAAGCTATATATAGGAGTACGTTGTTCTAGGTCTAACTTGTTCAAATTAAAATCCAAGAAAGTGAGACTCAAATTGAGATTTTGAAAATTTCAATGTAAATACAACCACCACAATAAACACCAACAATTATAGACTAGATAGCACTATTGCGACCTTTTGAAGAAAAAAATCTCGCTTATTTAATTGCCTTCGTGCTTCAAATATGAGTCTTAAAGAAGGAAGAAAAAGCATGAAGAAACCGTTCCGTCTACTCGCAGAGAAGTAAAGCTTCATTTTGCTAGAATTGAAATAAAAACTATTAAACCTGATAGTGAAGAATACGCCAGAATCTATTGACTCTTACTCTAACAGCGTTCATTATGAACTCTATGTGTGTGGTGTTTTAGGCATGAAAACGGGCGGTAGACATAGATCCTATGTATTGATATCAATGCATGCTCTCACGGATGTGCGGCATGGCGACAATCAGATGACGAGAATTAATTAGTGTTTCAGATATGAAGTTTCGGGATTTCAGAATTGAAAACAATATAGCTACTTACGCTAACGAGTTACCCTGATGTGAAAGACGTCTGAATAACGGCGCCAATTTCACATTTTCCGCTAATCGGTCCTCATTCTCTGGTCCATCACCACTCATGCCGTTCGTTCACGAGATAATGATGATGATGTTGGTGATGATGATGATGATGATGATGATGATGATGATGATGTAGATGATGATAGTGGTTTTCCTGTAAAATTTACACTATTCATAACATTAAGACAGATTCTGCCAAATCAGAGACACACGAGACAATTAATCCTCATACAAACACGTGAATAATTCGAATCGCAACAGAACTGATTCATAGTTAGTAGAGCCTATGCCACGATAATATACGGATAGAATATATGGAAAAAGTGTTGTTTATGTAACTGATGCCAGACGAACAAAAATACTGACAGTAGAAATGTCGAAGGTTAGAGAAGGGCGATCGAGAAAAATGCGACTCGACTACTTTCAGCGACTTCCGTCAGTTAAACTGTTCCCCTAAACAAACACCCACGACACACAAAAACACAATCGGTAAGCACGACTATTACAATGGAACACAGTATTAACTGTATAATAGCAAAAACAATGACTTTAAAGCTTTCTAAAGCGTATTCAAATTTACTGGAGGCAATTTATGAGCTGAGCTTGGGCTTGGGCTAAGGCTTAGGCTTAGGCTTAGACTTTTCGCCAACTTTTCACGCTGATATCAGTCAGATGCAGATAGACCTCACACGTAGATGTGTGCTAAGAGGCACTAAATTTACACCATAGTGGCCGTAATTTACACCCATCGACGAGATTCGTAAAACCAAAATCACATTATAAACTGAGCGAGTGTTATAAGCCTTTTCCGAGATCTTTCGAGTACGTCGATGGCTTACAATAGCAAACTTCCCCTCGAAAAGGCTCAAAACAATCTCCTGGAATATATCAAAGTCCTACGACGAGGTTTTCCCGAGCAGTAGATCATATAGGAGCTAGATAGATCACAGTGCTTCGGCTCGCACACCTGTCGTGCGAGCCCCCAACGAACGGAGGAGGGTCGACGCGCGCGTGGGAAAAAAGTGATAGTGGCAGAGAATGGAGGAGTAGGTTAGCAGGGGACTTGATCAAATACCATAGATAAGTGAATGAAATAGAATTCTCGTGCGTATATATATAGGTGTTTCTGCATGTGTGTATGTGTGTAGGTGTGTAGGTGTGTGTATATGTGTACATGTGTGTATGTGCGCGTGTATGTGTGTGTGTATGTCGAAGGGATTCGAGTCAGCACAAAACACAGAAGAATCCATAGCAGAACAGAGTGCATCGTGGGGGGTACACCGCTAATCGATTGATGTGGGTGAGAAAAATCGAGGTGATGGTCGCGCACCATAGCTGGTTTGAACGAACGACGAGACACACACACACATACATACATACATACACACACACACACACACACACACACATACACACCGTCAGTTGTTGAGTAAGACAATGACCTGATCAACGTGGCCAATAGTCAGGATGCACGAGAGGATAGTGCTCTGCGTTTCTGGATGACAGATATCGCGTGCAATGGGCAGATGAAGACGAAAACGTTACTGCTGATAGCCGCCGACGATAACGACTACTGAGTGGCATGTCCGCAGGAATCGAGATGATCGTCTCGGCTCCCCCCTCCCGCCGAAAGAACAAAGGCTGACTGAGCGATCCAGAACGAAAGGTCAAATGAGCTGGCATGTCATGGATACGTATGCGAAAATATTCGTTTGTTGATAGAGCGAACGAACATATGACAAAGAAACGCTAATCGTATGATTCAGTGTGATGAAAGACGATGTTGAATGAGTGTGGTGTTATGATATCGATGACATCTACCAAGACCATAGATCATTTGATGTTTGCATAAAGTGCTCTGATGAGAATTTCTGCGCCACTGCAAACATATATATATATAAGCATATATAACTCTATATTAGTACATGCGCGAGTCTATATACGCACATTCATGCCCACATTCGAATCCATTTGATATTAGTAACTGACCCAAATCAATTATTGTGTATCCTTCAGCTTATTTATCTTATAAATATTAGGTTGTTCCATAAGCTTTGGCAAGTGGAAAGTAAACATCAAATTGGTTAATTAGAAGTAAGTGAAGGGGTGCTGTGGCCGAGTGGTTGTGATGCTGGCCATGGAACGCGTGAAGCCGAGCTTCACTCCACCCTCCTTCTGTCTCCTTGGCAAAGAACAACAACGAACTACGCAACGCCACAGCCACGTTATCCTCGAGACTGCAAGGAGACTCCCTTAACCAGTACTCTACGACATTTCAAAAGAAGTAGTATAAGCGAAGGAATGCTAAAAGTACTGGAATCCGCACAGTGAGAAAAAAACACTGCAAGAATGGATCAATAAAGTGCAAAAAGGGAAGTAATTAACACTTGTGATATCTAGTGTTTTTACTGCTTTCCTTCGTAGTGTAATGATGTTTCATACAAACCTAAAAGATCTAAGTGGTGAGCAAAAATGCCCCGGTGGTGTAGTTGTAGCACACGTCCGCGGTATGGATGAAACGCGGGCTCGACTCCCGCTTGAGGTTGTGTTTATGCTAACCACTCAATTCTCTTAGGCTCATATGAAGTAACTGAAATTCTATGCATTTATCATCGTTTAATTGCGACACAACTTGCCTGTCTTACTTCAAGATAGGGCTGTATTGGGAACAAATTCGTTTGCTACTCATGCACGAATTGAGTGCAGGGGAAAATGCTAGTGAAGCTGAGTGCAAGATTAATGGAGCTTGGAGCGATGATACGGTTGCAGAAAGGACGGCTAGCAAGTGTCCCGCAAAGTTCAAAGCTGAAGTGAACATTTTAGAGGACCACTCGCACTTGGGCCGTCCACAGCAAGCTCGATTATCTTGGCGCGGCGCTGCACTGACATTTTCACCTACGTGCCATTCGTCCATGAGTAGCTGGTGAATTTGTTCCCAGGACAGCTCCATTTTAAAGGAAATATAGGCAAATTTTATGCAAGACTCTCGCAAGAACGGCACCAAAATAATGCAATTTCACTTAGTTCTTGCTAATAAATTGGATGCTTATTGCTCTAATGTCAAGCTTATGGAACGACCCAGTAATATTATGTCTCATGCGTGAGAAGTATATTGGCTAGGACGGTTCCAACTCATGTCAAACTTATTGTCACATTTTTGTTTTTTGGAATGCTTGGTATTACAATGAACAAGTATTCAAGTATGATTACAAAAGCTTTTTTTGAGGAAATATTAAGGTAGAAGGTCGTCCACGAGCAGAAACGGCAGGTGTACCGCGTTCGAGGAATTGAGCGACATCGACTGAATTGCTTATCATCCGGACTTCGTAGTCCAGACCATCGGACATTACCTGTAAATGCGATCCAGCGGAATGTAGGATAATTGCTACATTGATAAGCTAGGCCAGTCATGTGATACGTATGAGAGGTGAAATGGAATAGTGCTAGAGTTGTTCATCAAAAGAAGTATAAAATGGACTTCTGCAGGGTTTTGCATATCTCGTGAAGACAACTAACCCCTTTTTTAAATATGTCTATGTGACATATGCGAGCATTCTTACGGTGCAGAATTACAGAAAGTGTATAGGAAAAGGAAATCGTTTTGACAACGATAGAATTGCTGGGCACATAATTTTGCATGCTGTAGAGAATTGTCTTCTAAAGTTTCTATTAGCTCATGTGTGGCGCTATGGCTTTGTATATATCGTATGAGAACAAAATAAAGGGAGATAACGATCTGCTATGGAAATCTTTGGTCAAAACAACGACTTACATTTTTACTCCCAATTTTTCGATGTAGCTCTTTTGGAACTAAAAAAGTCATCAATTTCATAATTAACATTATTAGTGTTGCCAGCTTTCGTGATGAGAAAGTACATGGAAAGATACTACGGCTATGCTGTGATATACTCACGATTTCTGTTTCTACACAGGGTACTAAACTGGATATTTATCAAACAGGATTGTATGAAGGATCAGAGTTTAAATTCCCATAATATTGACCTAGCATCAGTGTTCTTGCTCAGTCCCAGTGTAATAACCCCTTAAACCGTGTGTGTATCGCAGTGCTTAGGAACGCCTTGCAATACACACTGAATCGGTTGGTGCTTCGATTCTCATCCAGAATCACTAAGTCTCCCATCCTTTCGAAAGTGGCAGATTGTTGCTAGACTCAGGAGGCAGCCACACTTGATGCACTGTCGAGGATCATCGTGCAGGTCATATATGCACTCAGTCACTTTTAAGATGCTTGATGAAGTAGTATGCATGGAAGATCTCAGTCTGAATGCATCTTTATTTTTATAGGCCTGTGAACTAGTGAAGAAGGCGAAAGATCGATAAGTTTGAGAAGGTAACTAATAAATTCCAGTTTTGATCTTCGACGTTTGTGTCCAATTCTTACAATGAAGATTAGATTGAGGTGTTGCTCCTGCATATGGAAAAGGCCACCATGGAAAAGATTCATTAGTCCTTATATTACGATATGTGAGAAACTTTGCTTCGTATTTCACGTGTAGGACTAAAGTAAACAGTTTGAAGGTATCAAGAGAGCGTCAATCAACCACATCATCCATAGCAACTATCAATACCTGAAGCCGTCTTTTCGTTTGGTGAAGCAGTCTTCAAATGGAGAACACCACGGGTTTGGCCGTAAATTATGTCGAAATGAGTAGTAAGGATCAGACTCTCTCTTCTCTTATATTGCATGTTTTCAAAATATAAATTTGCTCACGAGGTTCAGAATAGAAAATCCTATTTATCACGAAATAGAATTAAATTTATGTGGCGTTGTCTCAAAATTTCTCTCGCATTTCGACACTTTTGTTAATTCAATGTTATCTATGTTGAAGCAATTATTCAGTAATGCACTCACCATCATGAACAATGATATGCAAGCATTTGTGGGTAAAGATTGGATACCTTCCTCCCAGAAGGAATGAGATCACTGGTCGAAGAAGTCGGTAAGGCTAATTTTGAACTGGTTATGGTTTTTAAATTTTTCCCACACAGATGATGCTTGACGGCGTGAAAGAGATGATAATCCGATATAGTAATATCAGGACTATGAAGAGATTGTGATACCGTAGTACAGCTAAGCTTCCCCAAAATGTGGCGAGACGACTTGTAAGAGGAGCCGGTCAATGCGAACGGTGCTCATCAACACATCACTATAGTTCAGCCTTTTTCATCTAGATGGTGACCGATGGCGCTACAGCCGTATCTAAGTGTCTGCCCAAGGTACTAGGACATTCCCCAACATACCACAGCTTTTTGGCAATAACCCGATTCGAAATAGAGGAACAAACTGGGTAGTGAAGAAATTTATGGGACAGCCCAAAAGAATAGTGATATCACTGAAAATATCAAAAAAGCGTATGATTCATTAACAGGGTATTTCCATGAAAGTGCAAATAACAACGAGAGTTTTGAGTCCGGGAAAAGTCTTGGAAATTCTTGAACTGGCAGGAGTATTGAGGTACACTGAATATTGATGTCACACGAGTCGTCAATGACCGCAAGCTTACGTTCGAGCTCTGCTTCTCCCAAGCTTGATGTGAACTTTTTGACTGATTTACTCAATTAATTGAAAAACTTGTGTTGATCTTAGTTTCAAGAATAAACTAGCCTAACGACAACTATGGATAAAAGCAGATATGGCTCAATTTCACCGCTGGTTAATAGTTTGTACACCGCTCACTGCGGCTACCCTGGTGTCACTGGAAAGCGAACTTATCTGCCAAGACAAAAACTCAGCAGATTTATTGAATTAACAGTTTACTACGAGCCAATGAGCACCTCTATTGTACGAATGCATAGCGTACTTCTGAGACTGATCAGCACTGAATGATAATGGTAGTGGTAGCATTCATTTAGCGCAAAGCGATGATTTCTACTCAATGCAACTATGGAGATTAGTGAACAGTAGTTTGTATATTAAAATTAACCATATATGTGAAGAAATTGAAGTACACATTTCTGTAGTATCCTCAGACTACAAAAGAAATATGACTATTACTCTTTATGCTGCAATACGACCAAATATTTGGAGATGACCACCAATGGGATGAAATGCCGACTTCCAATTTCTTTTCAAAAGATGTCTAGCAACCTAGAATGTCGTATAGAGCTGTCCTTTAAGTCTACAATATTTACCTAAAAAATACTTAGACTGTAAGTCGAATATCTTTGGCTTGAGCTGAGAACGTACGTTACAATGACAACGATGGCGGCCGAGTTCTTTTGCCAGTAAATCCTTGAGAGAATAGGAACGGCTCTCAAGAGATTAAGCAAGACTAACTTTATTTCAATTGATCCGCCTTTCAGTATTCTTTTTAATGTGCTCTGTACTTCTAACATTCAATTCTTCTTGTCATCTTCTTCAACGTCATGGAATGCAGGCTGACGCACCAGAGGCGTCAAGTGGTGCAACGGTTTAGCACATGCTCTTGGAAAGACTAAGATCTGGGTTTGAATACCGGCTGACGCAAATGTTTTTCCACAGCACTCTACATTATTGGGTTTATTACAACATCATAACACCGCAACACGCGGTCAAATAAAATGAGTCCTGATTGTCATGGAATACTACTTAACCACGTCATAGCCAAGCTATGGCGTTCCATGGGGCGCTTTTTGCTGACTGAAGAAGAGTGTTGCGGAATGAGGATCAACGGCGAGCATCACTACCACCCGGCCACCTCCAGAAAGTCTTATCCTGATAAGTGGCTCAAATTCGCAACGCAGAAGAGTTCAATCGCTGTTTTTAACATAGTCTTCAAATATATGGTTGACAGAGTAGTAAAATATTGTAGAACATAGTTTTTCAGTGCCCCACTAATTTACATCGATGAAGAATATTGATAAAAGAGTAAGAATAAAGCTGTTTACTTTTCAATTCTTGACGGTTCTTCAAGTAATGACTTTGAAACTTAATCAGAAAGAGTAATTAGATTACTGGCTCTTTTCTCTTTTGATAATCTTAAATAACATTCATTCTGAGCACAAAAAAAGCCTAAAATTTAAAGATTGAGATAACAAGAATCTATAGATGAATTATTAGCAGCTATCATTACGAACAACGTCCCCCTCTAATATCAAGAAATCATATTTTTTTAACCGATTCACAGTTTCATTGTATGAAATCTAGCTCTAATTTCTATTGCAGCAGGCAAATATGTAAACATTGAAAGGGATAGATTATCATTGAAAAACTTTACTAGTCATGTTAGCTTGAGCAGAGAATTCTGGGAAATTTTTGAAAGTTTCATTTTTTGACATCTGTGTTATTTTTTATTGTTAGTCTTGATATGTTTACCTACTTCATTAATTCCAGCTTCAAGGTGCTTATTGAACAGCACGGTTTACGCGTGTTGATCCATCATCATTGGAATAAGTCTAAACGATTCTTAAAGCCGTCGATGAAATTAATGTGAGTGAAAGTGCTGGTAGGGCGACAAAATCGACTTCGGGTAGATGGTGTAAACTATTCATAGTAGGCATTTTTGATCCTAAAGATATGCCTCGTTTTGGACGGACATCTGTTTT